GACCCAGCCTTGCTTCACACCAAAAACAACTGCAAAGTCATCTGAGGTCTATCCACTCAGCTGCACTTTCGCCAGCGTACCACTGTACAGACATTCAATTAAACTTACTAATGTACTCGGACAACCAAAATTACCCGACACCAGCCACAATGCCTCGCGGTTCACAGCAAAAATGCCTCGGTGAAATCAACAAAAGCGAGTACAACGGCTTGTGTCGTTTTCTACACCTCTGCAACTGATGGGCCGCAAGCACTTTATCGATGGTTCTGCGACCCGAACGAAATCCACATTGTTCTTCTGCCACGTTCGGTTCCACAACCTGACTGACGAGGCGGTTGAGTCGGATTAAGTCAATTCCCTTGTCCACTCAACTCAGAAAGTTGACACCACGATAATTCGTGCAACATTGCTTGCTCCTTTTGCCCTTGTACAGTGGTAGCACAAGGGTATCCTTCAGCACAGAAGGCACCTCCTCAATCCACACGCGTTGCACCAAGTGATGCAGCGCAGTCACCTACGCAGTTCCACCGTGTTTCAATACTTCAGCCGGTATCCCGTCGGCACCGGCACACTTGCCGTTTCGCAGCTAAGCAAGTGCTGTCTGCGTCTCATCCAGTGTCGGCGTGTCCGCCACACTCACCTTCACTTCGTGTTGTTTCAGACCGTTCATTGTAGGCCAGTCAATCTCTGAACGGTTATTCCAGCGACAGTCAAAATGACTTCGCCCGATCTGCATTATGTCTGCAATCTGTGTGCAGGCAGCGCCTGATCTACCATGGATTAGCGTCCTCAGCGGCTCCAAGCTCCATCCAAACACCACCTTCAAGGAGTCAAAGAATTCCTTGTGTTGGTGGCGTTCGGCGCAGCGTTCCAACTGCTTTACGTTCTCCGCCCACCATACATTTTTAATGCGACGGAGCTCTCCAGTTAGTAGCCTTCGAATTTTGCGAAACTACCTCTTCTCCCCCGAGTCACTGGGGTCTACCACATGTGCAGCAAATCCTGCATTATCATCCGACACCAATGCGCCAGTCCTCGCATTGTTCTCATCAAACCAATCAGGACCCTTACAGTTTGCGCGCCCGATCGTCTCCTCGGCAGCAGCTGCCACCTGGTCACGAATGTAGTGCCACAGATCGCCCACTGTGGCTATGCAGTCCACGTCACACTGGCGTGCAGCCATCGCCGTCTCCAGCCCTATACGTTTCGCCACAGTACCGAGGGAGAGAATGTTAAATTTACGCCGATTCACGGCGGGAGTGCAATACATCGATTTACGAAAATATTGTACAGTTTGGTGAGCACTAATTTGTGATCAGTGCCACACTCAGCTCCACGCAGTACGCGTGTCATGCGCACTTCACGCATATCACGTTGACGTACAATGACATAGTGGAGCAGGTGAGCGTGACCACTCCGTGGGTGCGTCCAAGTGGTCATATCACTCGCACTCAGTGCAAACCGAGTGTTCATGCTCGTTAGGCTGTGTGTGGTACACAGTGAGAGCAGCCTGTCACCGTTCGCATTCGCTGAACCAATGCCATGCGGACCGATGACATCTGTCCACACCGATGCATCACGCTCATCACGCGCATTGAAATCACCCAGCAGAAATAGTCGGTCGCTCCTCGACACAAACAGTATCACGGAGGATAGCTGAGTGTAGAATTGATCACGCGTGTCATCAGAATAACACATGGTCAAACCGTACGTGCTTATAAATGTGGCGCACAGTCATCGGTCGCGCGCTGATGCCTGTTGGTTCACCCACCAGCTAGCCATTTAGACGATGGGATATTGCAAATCCGACCCCATGATCAGGTGGTGCTGAGGTGGCGTTGCCCACCCAGTAAAACGTATAACCGCCAGTTCCATCTTGACCGGTGCAGTGCTTTGCTCGGGACGCTCATTTGCATTCCGTTTGACCAGTGTACGCATGTTCTAACACTTGATGTTGAGCGCTGTGCGCGAAGGCATACGATTGCGTTGGCGGGCAACCGTATGGGTGGTGACGACCTGAATTGGAGGAAGTAGTGCGTTACTGGAAACGGGGACAGAGAGTATGTGCAAGGGAAGAAAAAAGAAGGGAAGCGCCAGCATAATCATGTTTTCATTTATCCACTTCGCTGTTTGCAGCAGATAAGGCGACCCTTTTCCTGTTGCCACTGCGCGACAGCGGCTGCAGTATGGAATTATTATTATTATCGACGTTATTCATATTTGTGGGGTTGGTGTCGGATACTGCCAGAGCGTCCACACCTGACAGGAGAACTATTCGGTTGCTTAGCCAAAGCCTTCGAGAAAGTATACACCCGAAAGGCAACGGTTTGAGCTCCTGGAGTCAGTGAACCGACTCACGCAGAATTGTGTCCTGGATCTTAGCTAGAAGATTAGTGCAACCCAACTCCCGCGTGTCAGCTGTACGGCGCTTCGCTGCCTTGCGACCACGACCGGTCGCACGCTGGCTAAATATACCGCGAGGACGCCCACCCCTACGCGGATTCGAATCCGCGCTGCAAGGTTACGCGACAGACTCGTTACCTCTAGACTAGGAGCCGACAAGATCCCACCGCACAACATTACCAGCAGCTGGTCGACGATCTATCAGGATCCCGCCACCACAAGCCTAAGCACACCTTGTGCTCTCCAGCCATATATACACTGTTCAACCTACTATGATGACTAGACTAAAACGTCCGCTACGTTTGGGAAGGGACTTTCCTCACGCGGCAGATGAGGTGGAAAACCTTGGAGTTGATAGTTAGGTGATGAGTCTCAGCTATAGGCGCGACCCACGCATTGTTGTAGGTTTTGTCCGATTCACATCTGGACCACGCCCTCGGACGCTTGATGACGGGTAAAAATGCGATTTCTTGACAAGTCCCGTAGGATGACCAGAGTGAGGATTATAAAACCGAAAGCAGAAAGTGACACGAAAGAGGGGGGAAATTCGGAATCAAAATGACTCCCTATGCTACTCACCTAAACCGATACGCTACGCAATAGATTGGTGAATACTGCGAATAGAGAGCGAGAAGATAAAAATTTGTGTTGCTCCATCGTAGGTGGATCGAGGACATGCGTGGAATCACGTCGCTGATTCCTGCGCGGTGGCAGCATATTGCAACTGCCTACACAGTTGTCTATGCTAGAATCCTGATAACCCAGTTTCGCTTGTATAGCGATTATTATGCATTGCACGATCAAGTTTAAAGCAAGCTAAACGATTATCTCTATTTTTCGTGTGTACAACGTCGGACAAATCTGCCTTATCAGTAGCACCTCACCACCTACTAACAGTATCCTGTTTCTGTTACGCAATAACGCCTTGATTAAGTTGACCGAGCTGGACTGATGACGAACCATCATACATTGCTTGACGACAGATGAAGCTCCATACTACGTCGTTGCATCTGCAACCTCCTAACCACTGTAGGAAGAGCTCAGCCACTGTTTCAGACACGTGACTGTCAATTATGCCCATGTTGTTGTTACTGCAACTGTAAGTGAACCGGTAGATAATGTGGAAGGAAGGACTGCCTGGTGAACTGTTCCGACAGCTCTGAAGAATGCCTCTTCGTGTGGTATAGATGAGTCGCGGTGTATCTGTCTTGTAGGTGGGCGTTGGAGCAAACCGTCTTGTGCCCAACTTCGTTTGCCGCACGATCTCCCTTAAGCGGTAGGAACAAGTTGACATCCTTTTTTACTGCGTGCTCACTGCACTGCCTTTCAAGGCGAACAGAATGTTTAACAGTCCTTCCGTAAGTCCTGTAACTCTATTCTTTACTGAAATGTTGCTACCCAACCGAATTAGTGCTACTGCACCAACCCAAACGTTTCTGCAGTAATCCAACCAGATGTTGACCCCGAGTGTTTGTTTAGGGCATTATGGTGTTACGGTGAGTCCCACTTCCACTCATTATACTTTATTCCATGAGTCATCATAGTTGTATTGCAGCGAAGCATCAGTTCTAATGGCTGATGTACTGCTGTTGCTGATGATGATGATGCTCCCTTGGAAACACCGCCGGTATTTCACATAACACACTTTCTGAGGGACCTTGTCCGTTGTCGTGAATTGCTCCCAGTGAGACTTATTCCACCAATATCATGTGCGTTGCGAACCGCTTCTAAAGTTCTCAGTTGTCACCTCAGATGTGTTCTACTTCAGAGTTCTGTAATATGTCTTTTCTTACTCTCACACACACACCAAACCTCTTACCTTGTTGATAAGTACATATTACGAAAAGAACTACCCACTTTGCACCAATGTAATCTCCGGGGAGTTTTTGTACTGCTGATCCCACGGTGAGTGGACCATGGAAATTTTGCAAACACTTTTTCTGTTCATGTCAAGAAAGACTTGAAATTGACTATTTTTGGTGTCTCTATGTAACGGTAACACAGTCATTCGGAATTGTCATTCTTACCACGAAGTTTCCACTTTCTTGCCTAACGTCTGAGCATACGATACTTCTTTCCTCCCTAGTAATTTTCGACTAATTTTGGTGTCGGTTGAAGTAACCTGTTATATTTTGTTTTAATGCCTGTTCAGCCGCTGAATAAATCTACCCTGCAGTGTATTCCCCCCCCCATTGTGCTGCCATACTTCCCATACGAGCATAAGTGTCTCAGATTCGTTACCACCAGTAGCTCAGTTTTTCCAGCTTGTTCGATCTCTCAGCGGACGTGGCAACTGCAGTTTTACATTTGTGCTGTGAGATCTCAGTGCGTTTATTGCAGTTTGACCGTCTGTTCAGACAACTGGGTTATCTGCTTTACAGCATTCACTCACTTGAGCGATGGCTTCTCACTTCAGGACTGTCATTCATGCTGTTCCCACTTGTGCTATTGGGCAGCTGACCATGAAGTAACACACGCAGGTACATTCTTACTTTCTCACAACTAAGTGTGGGCGATTCCGAGAACCAGGCATGAAATTCCTTTGATCCAGACACTTCCTGATATCTGCTGTTTACCTCCCTTTTTTACCTTTACAGGAAGACAACAGGTTCGTTCTGTCCGATGTGTCCTTCGAAATATCTGGCCCCCACCTTATTGCTGTTGTCGGCCCCGTGGGAAGCGGCAAAGTGAGTTACTGGTTTGCTCCACTTGTGGACTACGTAACACATTAACTGGGCGGTACAATACATCAGGGAGTGTGCAATTCTGTGCTTATTTATTCTAACAACAGTCACTTTGAAGGCTAGTCACATCTTCTTACTCACACCATTGATCCTCGCTTATTCGTGACCCATCTCATTCATCGACTTCGACTTGATTTCTTAGTGACGCACCGGATATTGCCTCGCATAGTCGAGAATAAATAGTTATTTATTTATTTACTTCCCTATGTTGAGGCCACTGCTGCAAGTTCGCGCACCTAGCAACACACGCGGACAACGGTACAAACTATTGGTACCTGATTTCAGGCGCATCGCTCACACTCTATGCTTCGTGCGTCGAGTGGTGAAATCTTGGAACAAATTACCGGAGACGCTGGTCGAAATCTAGGTCGAAATTTAAGCGATTCCTTAACTCCACTTTGTAGACTACAGGTATAGGAGGTATATTGCACTGGGAAATAGATGTAGCACAGCTGCAATATACTGCCACCGCACAGGAATCAGCGACATGATTCCGCGCATGTGCCCCATCCACCTACGATAGAGCAACATAGTTTTTTTTATCTTCTCGCTCACTCTTCTGAGTATTCAGTATTCAAAGGCGCAGTCGGCTCTTGTTAAAAGTCGCACTTTGACACACGTCTTTCATTTTTCACCGATTTGTCGATGGAGGATGAGTTTCTTACTGGCTACTTTTGCTGATACATGGCAGTTCAATATGACCGTTGATGACATGATGTCTCACCGTTGCTTGCCGTTGAAAATGAACTCTGTTCGCTTGTCCACATAGTCATCTAGTTCGTATTCATAACCTTGTTCAGTCATTCCACTGCATTGTCGTGGTTTACTGAATTCACAACCCAACTTAATACTACCGATCACAATATCATTCTAGCTATTTACTTGGATGGTATTATTGAGCTGCTACTCGCAATTTCCACATGCTGGTGGTGTTGAGCAAACAACTCCACGCGTTTTCGACTTCCAGCAGCGAGATGCTAATGGGTTATTGACGAATACATGCTAACCACAGTCCCCGTTGGAGTTCCGTATCGCATTTCAACCACACTTCAAATAGTCAGGCACAGTTTAGCGTTCTGCGGTTTTTCTTCGTCATATCATCTTTTACAAATTTTGAGTACGATCCTTTATGGGCACGGTTTCTCTGTACCGCAAGGAAGATACAGTTTAGATTCAATTTAATTCAATTCCTGATCTAATGTGCCGACTTCTTTGTTTATCCTAAATTATGAAAGCCTCTGCTCATTTTTCTCAAATGATACCAAGGTATGGCAACTTGTATTGTTACTATATGGTTGCAGGCATCCGGTTTCGGATTTGCTTGTCACTGTGGCCAGCCACAGGACGCCTGCGCCTACAGAGGGATCATGGGTGGCTTGCGCTGCACCACCCACAGCTCCAACCGCACACCCCATATCCAGTGTAAACCCGAAGGAATAAGACCGGGAGGCATGTGGATAGGAGTCACGTTTCATCAAAGGAGCCGGCCCACACTCCTTCACAGGCAAACACAGACACGCTATATTTGGCGAATCAAGCGCACACAAGGCGTTGGCTTGACCGTAATCCGCTCCATACTGAGGGACTGGGTGACTTCAATGTACCGCCAATAGCATCTGTGTTCCCAAGTGGGCCATGCTTCAAATCAAAACTCCTTGAGTTCTTGACTATGGCAGTTTTGTATAACCATGTGGATCAACCAACCAGACACCGCGGTTCAAACAAGCCTTCAATACTTGATTTAATCCTGACTAATGAGGAGTTAATGGTTGAGTCGGTTTCATACAACCCCCCGCTAGGTTGTAGCGATCATTCAGTTCTAACGTTTGATTATATGTGTTATGCCAGTATGGTTGACAAAGAACCAGAAACCCGACGATTCATCACCAACTATTCCAAGCTTCACACTATAGCGACAACCGTTGACTGGGACCTCCAGATGCACACTTCGGCGAATGATGCCTGGCAAGTGTTGAAAGGCAAGATAAACTGGGTCCTACAATCAGCTTCAAAAGACGTACCATTACGAGTTTCGCGACGGAGCAACAACTGGATCCGGAGTAGAACACGTAAGTGGTTGGATAGGCGAGACGAGGCTTGGAGGGGTCATTTGCTAGGTCCAAGTGATAACACGTGGAATCATTACAAAACAGTCAGAAACTACTGCACTTCACTCCTTAAAGCTGACAAGTACGAATGGCAGGAAACTATGGTACGCAAATTTACTAGCAATCACAAACTGCTCTACCGGTATGTGAATGACAAAAGGAAGGTTAAGACGGGAATACCACCACTAGAGACGGTCAATGGCCTAACGGTTACTGAAGAGAAGACCGCGGACGCATTGCTCATGCAGTTTGTCTCAGTGACTAGACACACCATGGAGCCATCGCCTTGCTACATCCCAGAAAATGTCGTCGGCTTATCCACGGTCAACTTTAGCCCTACATCTGTGGCAAAGAAATTACAGTCGCTCAGGGAAAATAGTGCGCCGGGAATTGACAAGATCTGTCCGAAAGTACTTAAAACCCTTGCACCCACCATGGCAGTCCACCTTGCAACCTTTTTCCAGTTTCTATTTGATTCTCATACACTTCCGTCTGAGTGGAAACGTGGACTTATCACTCCGATATACAAGGGAGGTAAGCGGTCAGACCCTGCCAACTACCGACCTATTACTCTCCTTCCTGTTCTATCAAAAGTGATGGAGTCTATAATCGCTGATGAAATGGTGAGATATTTTGAAAGTCTACAAATCATCTCCAACCTCCAACATGGATTCAGACGCGGACGATCTTGCCTCACCAATCTACTACTTGCTCGTGACTCATGGACCAGGGCTGCTGACGAGGGAGTTCCCGTAGATATGATTTACTTAGACTTTTCTAAGGCATTCGACAGAGTCAATCACCCAGCACTTCTCCGAAAGCTTGCGGCCTATGGTATCCACGGATCCTTGCTCACATTTTTGGAGAGTTACTTATACGACAGAAGAATCGAGGTAAGGATCGCCAACACCCACTCCGATAGCCTATGCGTCACTAGCGGCGTACCGCAAGGATCAGTTCTCGGCCCGTTACTCTTTTTAGTCTATATCAACGACCTCCATGCCAACATTCAATCACCTATGCAAATATTCGCCGACGATGCTAAGATGTGGCGAGCTATTCAGTCAACATCTGACCCTGTCTATCTGCAGGATGACCTGAATCGGATTCACGAATGGGCAGTAAACAACCAACTACCCCTGAACCCCGAAAAGTGTCACCTGTTGTCGCTGCGCAGTAACTGCAGCAACACATATCACCTGGGGCAGCGCGTTATAAAACAGGTGAGCAACGTAAGAGACTTAGGGGTCATCGTGCAAGAAGGTCTGGGTAATTCGCTCCAATGTTCAAAGGCAGCTAACATAGCGAACTTAAACTTGAGGCTTTTGAGGCGAGCGCTCGGTACCTTCGAGCGGCAACTCGTGCCATTATTGATTAACGCCTACATTCGTCCCCACCTCGAGTATGCGGTGCAGGCATGGTGTCCGTGGTTAAAACGGGACATTCGTCTCCTGGAGCAACCACAAAGAGCCACTAAGGCAACACGTGGTCCATCGGGCCTTAGTTATGAACTGCGCCTTCGTTCGATCGGTCTGTACTCCTTAGAATACCGACGACTTCGCGGTGATCTGATCCTCACTTACCGGATACTAAGAGAAGTGGACCATCCATGTAAGTCGCTGTTAACATTATCTGCCGACAAATGATGCCGAGGCCATGCACTAAAATTTGTGACTCAATATTCCCGTTTAGATTGTAGAAAGCTTTTTCCTCTCTTAGTGTCTGTCCGCACTGGAACGCACTGCCATCGCATGTGGTGAACGCACCAAACATCGAGACATTCGAAAGACTATTGGACTTGCACTTACATGATACACATTATATAACGGTATGACAAACTGCAGTGTCTAACTTACTGATATTTTTGTGTCACACCTGAAACTTTTGTTTTCTTCCATTTGCCATCCTGTGGGTCTTGTAGAGTTATTGCTTTTTATCCCACCATACACTATTGAATTGAATACTATTGCATGGAACCGCTCTTTGAGCTTAGCACGGCCACAAGGACCGTGCACCCGGTCCCCTCCAGCAACGACCAACTGGGTCCTGGAGCCAGTATGAACGACGTAGTGGGTAATAGACAGGTAGGCACCTTGTCAACATGCACATCAAGCGCAGCCACACCGGGGATATCAAGCAACAGCAAATTACTTGAAACGACAATGCCAAATAAAATAAATCCAATAATGCATACAGATACGGTGGCATAACTCTTCGATAAATTAGCATATGAAGTGCGTTGGATAGCAACGAATTCACGATAAGTAAGAAATGTCCACAAGCTACTTAAAAGTGCTACAAACGCAACAAAATTACCGAAGATAAGCGCAATTAGCGTAAGCAACGTAGCCAGTTAATAGAACATTATTCAGGTAGCTGAACAAACCAAACAAAGTGGAATGAAATTTATCCAGCTTGAAAAGACCTAGTTTAAGTGTGTTGGTTTAGCCCAGCTGCGGTGAAGATGCATCAAGAATGCAACATCAGCCTCAGCATGGGGCACATTGTTAATATATATATATATATATATATATATATATATATATATATATATATATATATATATATATATATATATATATATATATATATATTGTTACCTACACTCTATAAGCACTAAAAGTCCCCAGTTAAGTTCGTATTTTTACCACCAGATTGCATCCCACTTTTTTCAGACCTCCCTTCTACAAGCCATACTGGGTGAACTACCCTATACCAAGGGTAGCGTGACTCGGTGCTCCAACGTGGCTTATATGCCACAGCTGTCGTGGGTTTTTCCTGGAACCGTGAGAGAGAATGTCCTCGGATCCTTCCAGTATGAGCCTTCTCGATACATGGAGGTTTTAAAAGCAACAACTCTGAATGTGGTGAGTTCTCCGGGCTACTTTTCTTGCATGCAGTTTTATCGCTTCAACATTGTGCAATCAGTTACTGATTTTTCATTCTTGTGTTCAGGTATTGCATTGAACTGGCAATCCCCTTTGGCTCTCTCTATAGTTGTCGACTATGGATATGGCGTTCACTTCCACTGTTGAAATTGCTACACCTCATTACTATTGCTATTCATATAATTTTGGCAGTAGTACCAATACTGCAGTTTCAATATATCTAGTTGCTTCTCTATTTTGTGGATCAACGCTTTTGTCTATTCAAAGATGTAACCTTTGTTACCATCATCATTTTCTCCTTCTTCCTTGCCTCCCAGCGAAATTGACTTTTAGAGCAATTCCAACTTGTTACTTATCGACCCCGGTGGTCGAAAATGTCAATCTAATGGATTCAGTGCCATTTGGTGGTTTTTGATCCCGTGCCTTCCACTCCTTTCGTTCTCAACCGAAATTACCATTTTGGTTGTTTTTAGTGGCCGTCTCTGATAGCTAATTTTCATTCATGTCAAACCGGAAATTAGAGCGATCACGTTTTGCTCAATTTTCGACACTGAGTTGTTCTCCTTTTTTCCTTCGAATTAGCTTTGACACCACTTAATATTCTATGAATGCGAACTACCCTTTTGTTTGCTAAACGGCTCCATTTCACGCCAACAATTACCTCTAGTCTCTGTTTGAGAGTCACATCTACCGCTCGTGTGGTGAGGAAATGCATTTAGCGAGGTGATCGGGGTTTCTCTTCGTATCTGCATTCGTTTAGTCGCGGGCGCACTTCAAACATTGCATTGCAATACTCTAACCAATAGTAAGGTCAAGTATTCGTGTTATCTGTTATTTAGCAAATCAACACAGGCGCATAGGAGATAATCACGGTAGGGCGGTTGAGGCCCACTCCTGTTCCTGCTAGATAGCGCCCAGTCCCATGGCTGTTAAGTATGGAGCCCAAAACCCAGATGCCCGGACACACACACACACACCGATGAGTGCCCTTATACATGACCATCATACCATTGCTAATCCTTGTTTTCCGGTTTTCACCCCATGACAACCAGCCTTTCATGTCAGCTTTGTTTTACTCGCGCATACAACTGGCGGCTTTTAAACCACCAATGCTTCTCACATGTTATCTAAACGCTATGAAGAGTATTTGGATGGCGTGAACATCCGTTGGTTTTCCATCACCGCCAGTGCCCCCGCTGATCCACAGGAGCGCCATTCACTGCACGCAGTTGTCATCTGTCCAATTTGCTGTGTGACGTGGTACTAGGAGGAACAACATGTTGGGGCCGGTTTCTCATTATAGAGCCAAAGTCAAGTGAGCTCATTACAGGATCCCTACTGTGGAGCGTTTCCATGCCTCATTACTTCTGGCTGTTCCGATTCTGTTTTCGGGAATTTCTTCACTGCGCATCCAGTGGTTTGCCTCTACATTATCGCATTTTGTGTGCACCTTCGTTTGTTCATGGTACACTTTATCGGCTAGACATCCCCAGGGAGTGTTTAGGCCCAAGGAATCGGAGTCATCCCTGATGCTAACGAGCACCAATGATGTGCGCTCCAAACGGTGCATTGGGGTCTCAATAATGTGCTACCTTATGATATGATCATAAAAAGCACTGTTTATGTGAGTCATTGTGAGCTGTTTGCAAATTCAATGCCACTAATAACCATCTACCAGGAACCACGGGGGACATTGGCATCCAGGCATAAAAAGTTATTTCTGTACTTACTGCGTCACGGCAGTACACTTTTTCGAAGTTTGAGTTATGAATGCACTGATGCAAGCAACGGGATACATTGTCCAATTGCGTTGAACAATTCAGCTTGTCATATCTTCTTACCGTATGTGCCGCTGCATCTTCCACTCGACCACTAGGATTGTAGGATTGTCACCATGGACAGCTGGCAATGCTCAGTAGGTACTCATAGTCTGGCGTGACAGCGATTTCGTTCGAGTAACCCAAATCTGGGATTTGTCGGTCCATCTTCGCATTCACTGGGCGTGACGTTGCATGAGTCGGTCGTAGTCTTTGCTACAGCCTCAGCTGCAGGACCCGGTCTTGGTTACTTGGCAGGACCATCTGGATACCCATACTATCTTATGTCCATACGGGTACCATGTTGTGCTTACTGGTCTCGATGATCGGTAGTGAGTTCACTAAAACGTGCGTTTTTCTTTCAGGCTGATGCCTAAATGTGGCCACTTTTAGCTTGGTTACCTAGCTGTTTGTGACCATACTCACCGACAATTTTCGATAACCTTCACACCTTTGTCCCCTGATTCATGAGGGGTTATGTTGCGTGGCTCAAGCGCGTCACATTTAGAACACTGGACTTCTTTTCTCGTTTGTGTTAATGCGTCTTAATCACCAATCTGCTTTGTGAATTAACGGTCGTTATCATCCTGTTTTCTTACTATTAACCCCATCTGATCCCCCGTGTGGAATCGGCTTATTAGACCACAGACAGTTTCACTGCTACGACCGAATTCCGAACATGGTCCTATGCAACGATTCACGAAAGTAAACTGAGAGTGAAATAATGGCTGGGAAAGATGGAACGTTAACCTCCCTTCAGGTCAACTTATAAGACTTTGTCATATTATATATATATATATATATATATATATATATATATATATAATCAACAGTCTTCAAGACAGACAGACCCAGCGAAAATCATGAAATGGAAGTAATAAATACAGAGACCACAAAGAAGAACAGGATGAACGTTTACAAACCTTTTTTGAATCTTTTCTCTTTTTTACGCGTCTTTTTTATCTGGTTAATGTTTGCGATGTAAACCATGAGTATCAATACAAATATTTGTACACATTGTTCCATTAGGCCCGGTTCTGTGTCATCTCCAAAAGAGTTTCCAGCCAGCGATGTTCTTCATCTTTGATCCCCCAGCCCTGGAGACGCACGGGACCTACGACAGCTAAACTGGAAGTCGGCGCTTTCATCGTTTTTCGCCACCTGATAGGCTAACCACCGCGCGGTTTCTTCCAGCGTGGTCCTGTACAGACGAAAGGAGTGCGTCGGGGCAATCGTTCGTATGGCATGCGTAAAACGTGGCCCAGCCATCTCAGCTGGCGCAGCGGTACCAGTCTGTCAAGTGGAATTCCCGTGTTACCCAAGAGGCGACGCCTAACATCGTTGCGTACGTGGTTCATCCACCACACTCGAGTTAATCTCCGCAGACATCCAGTGTCAAAGGCCGAAATCCGACGCAAGTCATTCACACGAATCGGACAAGGCTCACTCCCATACAGCAGCACCGCGCGAACACAGTCATTGTAAACCCTGCTGATAGTGATACGTCACGGCGTCGCCACAAATGCCTCAAGTTGACGAACGCCGAACGGGCTTTGGCATTACGGAGGGAGATCTCTTTTCCCATGATACCATCAGCAGAGACACAGCTTCCCAGGTAAACAAAGTTGTCCACTTGTTCAAGCTGCGTAGGTTGAAGAGTGAGCACTGGTGCAGACGGATGCCAATCCAGGACCAGAACTTTGCATTTCGTAGGGGGCAAATCTCATGCCATATTTTGATGCTTCAATCGCCAAGCAATTTAGAACAGCCTGTGTGCTCTGTGCGTCATCACCAAACAAAGCAGTATCATCAGCATAATCGAAATCGGTCACGCGGTTGTGAAGAAGAAGCTGTACACTAGAACCCTGAAAGTCCTCTAGAACGTTTAAAAGGCATCCTCTATCGCAAAATTGAAGGGAAACGGGGACATAAGGCAACCCTGTCGTACACCGCTAGGGACGGTGGAAGGTGAAAAGAGCTTATATCGTAAGCCCTCACTTTACCTGAGATATTGCAATATGATGCTCGAAGGATGGCGATATACTTTTAGGGTACTCCGTTCCTTTGTAAGCAACGCCATCAATCTGGCCGATCGACGGAGTTGAAAGTGGGTCGGATGTCCAGAAAAGTAACGATAGTTGGCTAGTGGTAAAGATGCGTTTCAAGAAGTTGTCGGAGCGTAAACAAGTGGTCTATACACCCTTGACCGGGGCGGAAACCAGCATGTTCTTCATGGGAGCGCAAGTATCGAATCGGGGTTAGTCTGCGGAGTAGAATGGATCCTAACAGCTTGGAGCCAACGGACATTAAACTGATTCCTCGGTGGTTAGCGTATAGGGTACAGGCACGATTCTTGAGGATCGGGACGAAAACTGACTAGTCCAAAGCGGATGGAACGGTTTCTTCACATCAGATATTTTAGAACAGAGCCGTTAGCTGATTGACAATTGATTAAAAACCGAACTTATGCAGCTCTGGAAGAAGTCTTTCTTGGCCGGCAGACTTGAATCGCTTCAAGTGTCGGAACTCAAGGCAGACTTCAGCTTCCGTGGGTGGTTCCAATGAGACGTTCCAATGCGCGCAACTAGGTATACTCATTCGAGGGAAGTTCGGAAGTGTTCAGCCCAGCGGTTCATCCGCCTGTGTAAGTGGATGATCGGCGTTCTATCAATCTCGGAAATGACCTCACTGATACCACGTTTTTTGTGACCAATGGCCCGAATGACCTGAAAGTTTCCAGAGTGGGCTGCCGTTTTTATCTCTAAGGCGCGCTGGGACCAACAAGTTTCGCGGTCAGCTCGCAATCTTTGCTAAGCTATCAACACAGCAAGCAGCCGAACAAGAAAAATTCTATGCCGCAGGCATCAGCCATCGCCACACATCTAATCGAAACAGTCCATCAGGTTAACCCTGGGTCAACATTTACAGTTATCTATCGAGATGAAAACTCCGAAGTTTTGAAGTTTGCCGAAGCTATGGCGCCTAACCGGCATCGCCCTATCCTTTGTATACAGAAACAATTAACAGCCTCCCTAAATCTTCCTTGGGGCTCATGACCTTAAGGGGAAGCTCGTTGATCTGTTGTATAGCGTCTAAGTAATTTCCCTATGTGACCAGTTTTACAAGTTCGTTTTTTCTGTCAAGTGATCCATATATATGTTG